CAGGTAGGCGTCAAGAAAGGCCGCGTGTGTTATTCCCGGTCACAAAATGCGGGTGCTAACATTTCTGCACTCAGTGCAATAGTTAACTTAATTCGGATACGAACAAACTGAATAAACAAAGAGCACTGGTCGCTCACTTACCAAATCTGTAGAGACAGGTCAATCACCAGCAACTAGAGCCGCGTCTGAAGAGAAGACTACATCCGGATCTCAGCGTTTGCAGATGAGAACAGCTCTCAGGTAAACAATAATCCCCCTTAGACACGTAAGTTATTGTTGTCGAGCGTCGCGTACACTGTTAATCCACACGTGATCCAGATGAGCTCTCACAGAGAGAAAATGAAAACGAAACTTAACGGCAGCAAACTATAAAAGCAACACTTCACGCTTGTTTTGCCAACACAACGTGGCGTCTTTGCCGTCTACACTCTGACAGTAATGAATATTAATGAAGTTGCACAATAGATCGCGCTGATTGGTTTGAACCAAGCCTTACTCATGCATTAATGCATCACACTGTAAGACGTAATAAGACTCACTCTGGCAAAGACGCCCAGTCTGCACGCTGGAATACAACGCTATTATGTCATGACCGTGACGCAGCTTCAAAAATTTGTTTCAAACAGGAAGTACGAATTTGCTTGAAATAACGCAAAAACAACCAATTTACACTTTTTAGTGAAATATAGGTGTCCTAATTCTGTTTTTAGCAGTGTGGGACACATATACGACTGTCAACAGCTCAAAGAATGTGTTTTGGTGTTTCGTGACCCTTTAAAATAAACATTTCTACTTTCTGCTCATTATGGGGGAAAATTTTTATCATGAATGTCACAAAAAACATTAAGCAGCAACTGTTTCAACACTGAGGATAATAAAAATAATAATAATAACAATAATAAAATAATTTTGGAACCAGAAAAGCATATTTAAATTATTTCTAAAGGATCTTTAGACAAAGCATAAGTGGAGTAAAAATGCTGAAATACCATCACAGGGAGACATTGTTCAATAAATTCAAATCTTCTTGACCTTTCTACTGGAAATAAACTGCATCATGGATGTCACGAAAACATTAAGCAGCAACATTCACCACTGATGATGATGATGATGATGAATATGATAATAATAATAATAATTACAGGATCAAATTAGCATATTAGACAGAGCAAATGTGGAGTAAAAATGCTGAAAAATCTGCTTTTTTTAACTAGCTTTAAAGGACAAGTTCATCTATGTTCTCGTTTAATCAGCCTTTGCACCCAAATCAGATTGAGTATCTTTCATCTGTTGAACACAAAAGATATTTGGAAAAATGTTGAAGTTTGGTATATAAACACTGATTTCCGCTGGTTTCCTACTACAGATCTCAGTACCTACCAGATTCCAACATTCTTCAAAAAAACTTCTTGTGTTTAACAGAAACAATTAGGCAGCAGCTATTTCACTACTGGTGATGTATCAATAATATTATCATGATTAAATGATAATTAAGTGTCAAATTAGCATATTAAAATGATTTCTGAAGGATCATTAGACAGAGCATAGGTGGAGTAAAATTGTTGAAAAATCAGCTTTACCGTGAAAGGAATACATTTTTAATTCAAAGCACTAGTTTTAAAGGAATAGTTCACCTAAAAAAAGAATTATGTAATGGTTTAATCAGCCTTTGTGCCCAAATCAGTATGAGTTTCTTTTATCAGTTAAACACAAAAGATCTTTAGAAGAATGTTTGAAACTACAGGTGACTACAGGATTCCAATACTAATGATAATTAGAGGATAATTAAGGAAACAAAGTAGCATATTAAAATGATTTCTAAAGTATCATTAGACAAAGCATAGGTGGAGTGAAAATGCTGAAAAAGACTTACCATCACAGAATACTTTTTTAATCGAAAACACTTGTTTTAAAGAAATAGTTCACCCCCCAAAAAAATAATTATGATTAAATCACCCTTCGCACCCAAACCAGTTTGAGTTTTATCTGATAAACATTAAAGATATTTAGAAGAATGTTGGAAACTGTTGGAAAACCTAGTTCACAAAGCATAGGTGGAGTAAAAATGCTGACACTTTACACCCAAGCCAGATTGAGATTCATTCATCTGTTAAACACAAAAGAAATTGAGAAGAATGTTGGAAATTGATATACAATCACCGATTTCTATTGGTTTTCCTACTGTAGATGTAAGTGACTACCGCATTAAAAATATCTTCTTGTGTTTAACAGAAACAATTACACAGCAGCTATTTCACCACTGGTGATGTATAAATAATGTTATTATTATTATAAGATAATTAAAGGACCAAATTAGCATATTAAAAGGATTTCTGAAGGATCTTTTGACAAAGCATAGGTAGATTAAAAATGCTAAAAAAAAAAAGATTTACCATCGCAGAATATATTTTTCATCGAAAACACTAGTTTTAAAGAAATAGTTCACCCCAAAAAAGAATTATGGAATGATTTAATCACCCTTCGCACCCAAACTAGTTTGAGTTTCATCTGTTAAACACTAAAGATATTTAGAAGAATGTTGGAAACTGCTTTTAGAACATACTCTTCATGCCAGATAAATAAGATCTAACCCAGGATGCCAGATCCTGTCAGAGATGTTGTTGTTTCTGGGTATCGAGACAACAAGTCAGCGGAGCCACCTAATAATCAAACCTGTTAATCAGTGTTCAACTGAATTAACAGTCTCCTATCACTGGGAAGCTGTGACTGAGAAAGCTAGAGAGGAGCAGAAGCAGGAGATTAAGTAATGATGATAAAGAGAGCAGAGTTTATTGAGTAATCCTAGTTGCGTATAATCAATGCTCAGACTTCATCTGACCACGATAATTCCAACAAGTGTTATTATACCACAAGCTACAGCAATGGAAAATTGCTGCTTATGAAACAAGTCTTGCTTGCTTTCACACAGTCATAAGTTTATAATACATGGATAAATTAAATAATATTAAAGCAATAGTTATAGAAAAATGGTAATAATAAAATATAGAAACATAATAAAATGACAATAATTAATAATCAAATCATTAACTAATGATCAATAAAATGCTAAAATGATGATCATATAAATGACTACTGATCATTTGATTAAATTAAATAATTAAATGAAGAATAAATGAACATAAACTTATGAAAATAAAACACGACACAAATGAGTGGTTGATTTCTTGAAACAACACACACATAAGTTTGCTACAAGGATTCTCAGATTTTTCACTGCTATTTAAACATTGATTTCCTACTATGGATCTCAGTGACTACCGGATTTCAGCATTCTTCAAAATATCTTCTTCTGTTCAACAGAAAACTGAACTATTTTACTTTTAAATAGTAGTGTATACAATACAAAACTTACCAAGCAGATTTTCTATCATAAAATATAAGCATTAAGGTATTTTTCTGTCTCTGGTGCTACTGATTACTCCTCTTTCCTTGAATGGTACTGTTACTACATTTAGCAGTCTACTTTTTTTCTTTTTGTAGTGTTCATCACAGATTTTTATTTTATAAAACCATGTTCTGTTCTGTTGTGTAAGGGCCAGCATTAGTCATCTTCTTTTCTCTGTTGTGAACAATAATAATCTACAGAGAAACCGCAGCCTCTCGGTTATTCTCGTGGTTCAATAGAGAATCATTCACCAAGCATTCTCTTTCTCTTTCTCAAAGGAGCTGGAGATAAAGAACGAACAACAGCAGAAAATTCTGAGGATTAAGACGGAGGAAATCGCAGCCTTCCAGCGGCAAAGGAGAAGTGGAAGTAACGGCTCGGTCGTATCACTAGAGGAACAGCAGGTGGGTTCAGACAGAGAAGCCAAATTGTGCTCCTTTTCATCGAACCCTTCCCGCAGCTATTACCCAGCATTATTTTTAGATCTGTTTACTCAGTGTTTAATAGTTTGACTGACGTTTGAAGGAATTTTATTATTCTCACCTTGAGGAAAAGGGTACATTTCAGTAGCTTGTTTCAACACGTATGATTTGTTGCCTAAATTTCCTCTTAGCCTGGTATTGGCATGCGATTTATGTTATTGATTCTAGAATAGATTCTAGAATACACTTGCTGTTTCCAAGGACATGGTTGTGAATTTGATTCCCAATGGAATCCCAATTTGATTCGTTTTTGAATTTTAAAACAAAAATAAATAAAAAAAACGGCTAATTATTTTTTATTTTTTTGCAATATGCTAATCTAAACTGAAAATCCAGTGACCAATAGATACATGGACCCTGCACAAACATGCACAAGTTGACCTGTAAATCCAATAATAATAATAATAATAAATTTATTATGAAATGTATTGCGCTGAGACTGCAGCTCTGCACAAGACTTTTGGCCAGCGGAGAAATTAAAATGGTCGTGCCGAACTGAGTCTGGTTCTCTCAAAGTTTTTTTCTTCACTCTCCTATTGGTGAAGTTTTTTTTCCCTCTCCGCTGTCGCCACTGGCTTGCATGGTTCAGGATCTGAAAAGCTACTCATCGATGAATTTGCTCTTCAGTGTTTGGACTCTCAATAATGACTTCAAACCACACTGAACTGAGCTAAACTGAACTGAACTTAAACACTAAAAACTGAACTACCCTGATCCAGTTACTATGACCATTTATGTGAAGCTGCTTTGACACAATCTACATTGTAAAAGCGCTATACAAATAAAGCTGAATTGAATTGAATAAAAATGTAATTTTTTCAGCAATATAAAACTTTTAAATAGCCTAAAAAACACCTTGGCATTTTAGCAAAGTGTATCTCTTTCCATTAGGTGCATTTTAAATTCGCTATTTTAATTTGCACAATTTAAAAGGTATTGGCAACGCACCTGTTAACTGTTGGTTTCATGCATTCACACTACTAGCGATATCAAAGTCACTTTCATGTCAGTGGAGAGCTAGCACCTTTTTTCTGAAGCATATAAGTGCATGTACCATATATAATAAATCGTAACATTAAAAACATCTGGTTGAGCAGAAGATAGAGGAGCAGAAACGCTGGCTTGATGAGGAAATGGAGAAGGTTCTGGATCAACGACGTGGCCTTGAAGACCTGGAAGGAGAGCTGACCAAGAGGGAAGAGATTTTAGCCAAAAAAGAAGCTTTACTCTGGGAGCGCAGTGGCCTGGAATCCAAAAAGCTTCGCTCAAGCCAGGTCTGTATGCATTCTATGGCTTTATTTCCCCACATTTTGAGTCTGTCTCCATATTATTCTGCAATTAGTAGTTAAGATCATTAATGCAGTTAGTTTTAGATCTTGCGATTCAGTTGTCTTTTGGAGAAATGACTTAGAATAGCAAATGACAGAAAATGGTCAAACGACTTGATCTACAGACAAGTGTGTTTATGAAATAAAGCCAAAATATATATAGTTATAAAATCATAACGCGCTGTTTTAAGGCTAAAAAATGAATTGAAGTGAGTGTGACCAGAAGTCTCAAGCCAATAAGGTTTCAATGGATGCGCCCGCTCATACATGACGAATAAGGGTCAATAAATTGGCATGCTGTTTTCTCTGCAGGCTCTTAGTCAAGACCTGTTAACCTTGTCTAGCCGGATTGAGTCTCTGGAACGGGAGCTCACTGAGAGGAACGGTCTTCTGCGTAGTGGCAGTGCTCAGGACTCCCAGCAGATCAGACAGGAGATCTCCAACCTTCGGCAGGAGAAGGAGCTGCTGCTCAAACAACGAGTGGAGCTGGATGACAAACTAAGACAGGGCAACCTGCTCTCTCCTGAGGTGAAAATCACATTAGAGTCTCAACTCCAAAACCAAAGTTATTTGAAATTAATGCATTCGAATTTTGGGCTTTCTGAGATGTCAGCTTTAGAAATTCCTATCTGCTTTGTTTGCTTGATTTAAAAGTGCTGTGTGGACGTTTTGGACTCTTCTAAAGCATAAAAATACTATAATATGTTTGCAGATATTTAAGAAACATGCTAAGTGAACATTCTTGTTTATCTGAAAAACAATGCTGAAGTCAGATATTCTGCTTTGAAAATGTCTCTTACGTGCCGTAACGTGTTTTTGTTTTAGTTCATTTGATCCACCCAATGTCAGTTTAGCCAGTTATATTTCAGCACCCCAGGTTGCCTTGGTGAAAAACTGCATAATTCATTCATTCAGTCAGAAAGGCTTTTAAAGCATGCACCCGTGTCTAAAATGCGACCTCTGTTGGACAGTAACTTTAGCAGACTTCGAAATGAGATGCAGATTCAGAGTTCCACAAAGGTAATTAAGTAACAAATAATATAAATATTATGAACGTAAACAGGTTACATTGTAACCCCGTGTCCTAACACTATGCTACGCATAAGATTTGCAGTGACAAGCAATTGGCAAATTGTTTGCACCAGACGAAACACAACAGAAATTTAAATACAGCAATTTAGAAGCACAGAATATGCACTCACTCATGAAATGGTAAGGTTTATAATCCAATTAATACAAATTAAATCTCTTTATTAAATACACATGCTAAATCACTGATATGTGTTAGTTTTGAGTCTCACTTGATCATTTGAGGTGAACTATCTGCTGCTTCATTCAGTAAAATGGCATTCAAACTCATTATTAGCATTTAACACTGAATAAAGCGCATGGGTAGAACCTGAGGTGATCTTTGTAAGTTTTCTGTTATTCAGCTGCAAGAAATAGAAGCCATTTCTTATGCTGCGTTTACACTAGACACAGAAGAAGCGTCAAGCGCAAGTGATTTACATGTTAAGTCGATGCAAAGACGCAAATAGACATCCTGCAGTGAGAAACGCGTGAATGAGGTGGCGCGAATAATGTGATTCGCACAAATGAAGAACCAAGTTGAGCGTTTAGCACGATTGACGAGCTTAATGCGTGTTTCGCGTAAATCACTCCAGTTCGAAAAAAATCTGAACTTCCACTGACATTCGCACCACGTTAATCAACCAGGAGCTTGCTCTTGTGGGAGCATGATTGTGCGTCTGTTGTTGGTTTCCCGGTGGATAGTCCTCCTGCCGACACCCACTACAGTTCATCAAACTGGGCTCAGCTCAGTCAGAAGCACCGCTTGAAAGCTTCCATCATCCAGGTTAAGTTTCTGGAGGAGTTTATGAGCTCACAGAGCTGGGTGCACCTCTAAAAAGTGGACTCAGACACTGCTCCGAATGAATCGACGCTGTTTTTCAGCCTTCATAAAGCCATAAAACACAGCTATTCTCTCAATAAAATCCATGTTCGCCAAATAGCAACGAAGCTAGAGAAGCCCTGCCCATCATGTGAATCTGATTATTTTCCTGAATTTGACGCACGAATGAAGCAAGTAGACTCAAAATGTTAACGTGTCTATTTACACTTGAATAGCGCGATTTATCTACGCTTGCCGCATCTGGTCTGAACACAGCATAATATATCAATTCAAGGTGTTGGTTAAAACAAAAACTCCTTTTAATATGGAGAATATTCCTTCTATCGTGTGCCGTTGCTTTTATTTAGAGCACGGTTTAAATCAGCCTTAACACTCGATCATCAGACTCACTTTTGTTGGTCCTCAATCTGGCAACCTGCGCTTGCATTTGTTTTGATTCAGGAATGCAATATCTAGTTCAACCAATGGGTGTCAAACTTGCATACTGCACCATTTATAATGTAATTTACCACATTAGAAGCTAGTTCACACAGAATTTGTTTCTACATAAAGTAGTTGTTTCACACATAAATCTCTTGTGTAAATATCATTCTTAAAGTCATAGTTCACCCATTATCTCCCTCATGTGGTTTTAAACAGTGTGCGAATTATACATTGAGGATCAGAGGGGGTCAACTGTTTTGGTTAGTTTGTGTAATACATACTTCAGTCATTTGTGTATTTATTTTTAATTATATCTAGTTTATTAATTAAACATATTTAAGTTTTTTGCAATTTGAGGGATATGTAGTGTATTCTGATCTACATTATTCTCTGATTAGCTATTTCGAATGTTACTTAGGTTTAACTACCAAATATGCGTCTAATGTGATTTTATTTCCAGGTTTAATATAGATAAAAACACCTATTTTATGAGAAAACAAAGTAACATGTTAATTGGTGCGGTAGATCTGCTGCTCGAAAAGGTTTTTCACGAATAGACTCTGGTGCAATTATGCATTAACAATGGTTTGAACCATTATAGGGGTGGTCATTTCTTAATAAATCCTAGTCAAATCTATGCTTTACACCATGATCTAACTAGACACGATAGAACACTGCAACATTCAGTGGATGTTTTTGCTAATGAGACTTTTTGTCCTACCCAACCAAGACAACCATATGCATTGAGCAACAAAGGATTCTATTTTAGGAGTGTTTTTTCCCCCTGCAACATTGTGACTGGAACAACAGCACACACATTATGGTAATTATAATCTCGGGTAATGACTTAGTGCTTTTTTTAATATTTAATGAGTGTCATTTGTGTTTAAGTATTATTTTACGTGACCTTTTTAAATACTGAAAAAAGCAACAATGGATAATTGACTACATGGTTTTAAAACGGAATGAATGTTCAGAATATGAAGTTGATGTAAGCAATGTAGTAGTCCCTTACAGAATCTCAGTTTGTATTTTTTAATATTAGAATTATTAAATATTCATAAAATTGATTATATACTTATTTATTTTCAAGTGGCAATGTACTCTTTGGGTTCTAGTTGTGTCTTTGGATTTTATTTATTGCATTTTGTGTACTGTGTAAGGCATGTTTTTTGTGGTGTATTTTTTGTTTGTTTTTTTGTTTTATGATCTTTTTTCATGTTTTCTTTAGTAATTTAGTTTTTCTAATTGCTTTATTTTCTAGGTGGAGGCTCTCTTTGTATATTTGTGTTTTTCTGCACCTCCCTGCACATTATAGATTGTCCTCTTTTGATTTGTTTTGGATGTATTTATTCTATTTTTGTGCTAAATAATCTAAACTTAAACCAAACTAGAGGGAGAGAGTGAGAGTGTGAGAGAGAGAGAGAGAGAGAGAGAGAGAGAGAGAGTGAGAGTGAGAGTGAGAGTGAGAGTGAGAGAACATGCTTTTCTAAACATGGTGTTGTTTGGTATAGTTGGTATTTGTAATGTCATGTTGTTGAGTCACCTAGAGAGACAAATTGTTTGTTGCTTAAGTCATACTCCATCACATCTGGTTAGGATATAGGGCTCTATTTTAACAATCTAAGCACAAAGTCTAAATCACATGGCCAAAACCATTAAGGGTGTGTCTAAATTTACTTTTTCTATTTAAAAGATGGTTAAAGATGGTTAAAAATACGGTTTGCGCCCCAGCGCATGGTCTAACAGGGTTGTGCTTATTCTCTTAATGTGTTATGAGTGTGTTTTGATCATATCATGCTTTAAACCAATTAGTGTCATGTCCCATTCCTAGGGATGTAACGGTATTGTAAATACCGTCATACCGCAATATTAATTTTTTTCGATATTACCGAAGTCGCATGACTCGGTAAAACTATAGGTCTTCTGAGAAAATTTGCTCAGGTGAATGAAGTGAACGGGAGGTAGCTTAAACTACATTTCCCATCAGCCCAGGCGTGGCCATAATCCCTTGCGGTCTGTTGTCGCTACAGATCCAGTAATGCGGAAATGGAGTGTGCTGCTAGTAGCAGAGATGAAAAAAAGATGGAAATGATCGAACCTAAAGCGGGTGTTGTCGCCGCGCGCGTACTGAATAGCAGTGTTGTCGCGCGCGTTCTGATCAGCTGTGTTGTTGCGCGCGTATTGTAAAGCGCCGAGGGGGGGTTGAGCGCGCATACTCAAGAATGGTGTTGTCTACTGAAGGGCTGGACGGAGGTTGTGTCGCATCGCGGGGGCACTTTTGATCGTTTTGGAAGGGCACTTTCTATCCAAGACTAAAAAGGGCATGTGCACTGCACAGGTTGAGCCCTATGTGTGCACGTGCCTGCAAGTTGGGGAATACGACTAATAGCAGTCATGGGGACTGCAGAAACACAGCACACTGTTCAGATTGATGCAGACATGAGACCTCTATCTCACTCATGGTTTGTCTTCTCAAGTGGGGGAAAGACAATGCACAACGTTACCCACTGCTGTCAACATAGGCCAAGTCATATCTCTGTCCCAGAATCCTCAGTCCCAAATGATAGGGTTTTTTTCTGTTGCAGGGGACATTGTAAATACCCAGAGATACCAGCTTTTACCAGATTATATTTATATGATAATTTTCCTTTAAACCCATCTCTATCTAAGTAAGTGAGTGAGTGATTAAATGTTGAATGTGATGAGTTTTCAACAATACTAAATTGAAACTTTATTTTTTTACATGGTTTAATAATTTTTTGTCATTAAAATTGAAGTTTTTGTTTCAAAGCTTACAGATAGATGGCTAATTTGTATGTCATTGACACTTTTGGCACTTTTTTGGAGTATTTTCAAAAGTTTTGTTTTTCCTGTAAATGATTCAATAAATACCGTACCGTGACATTCATACCGAGGTATTACCGTACCGTGAAATTCTGATACCGTTACATCCCTACCCATTCCCCTTTTAAAAGTCAGTTGTGTTGCGCCATGGCACATTTGCTATTTACATGGCAACTTTGTAAGTGGAAAAACTGAACACTTCACTAATGAAAAAACTGGTAAACAGCATCTGCAGCGCAAGGATAAATAATGAGCCTCCTCCATTCGTTTTCTTTACTTTCTCTTTACTTTTACTCCACTGAAGACATCCATTAGCCTAAATATTTCATTTCATTTGTTAAGCTCAAATATTTGTTTTAAAACTGTTTCTAAACTCCGTTCTAATTTCCAGCAAACAAATAAATGAACAATAATAACGAAGTGTGGTCAAAAAAACTAAGTGAGTTATAATCAAATACACCTCCTATTTTTATGCCCCATACAGTGATGCAGACGTCTCCAAAACCAGACAGATGGACAAATCTAAACTTGTTTTTTTAACAAATATAAATATGCATATAATAAAAAAAACACAATTAATAATAACATTATACAAAAGCCAATAGTCATGAATAAAGTGGAAAAAAGCCCCCCGAAATGAAGAAGACATGGAGGTAGTGGTTTTTATACTTATGTAGAAAATAATAACTTTTGCAACATTTTAAGTGAAGTTTATGTATAAACAAGTTTCGAGAGGATCACGTGCTTATGATTGCTAGCGGCTGGATCCGCATTATCCAATTCACTACGCTCCAATCAGATGACTCCTAAACTACTATAAATACCCTGGGTTTCATTCCACTGCTATCTTCGTTTTGAAGAGTCCCCCCTTCCTCCCCTACTCCTCCTTCTTAGACGGGTTACACGGTGGCCCAGTGCGTAGCGCTGTCGCCTCACAGCAAGAATGTCTCTGGTTCCTGGCTCTAAGAAACTAGCAGACATTTCTGTGTGGAGTTTGCACTTCTCCCCGTGCTCACATGGGTTTCCCCCGGGTTCCCCGGTTTCCTCCCACCGCCTAAAAACATGCAATTAAGTCAATTGAACAATCCAAATTGGCACCATAGACACGCTTCTAGTACGTAGTTATTTTCAAGAGCAATCACTTGCTACAGCAAGAGAATTCTCGAGATCTACCTGAGCTCAAACTCCCCTCCCGCCTTGCAACGGGAGGGAGCCCTGGGCTCGAGGATCTCATGAGCTCAGAGCTCTCTCCCGGGACAGCATTCCAAACAAGCTTTTATAATTAATCATCAGCTAAGTGTGAACTCTTGAAACCTATTTTTTTTCATATGGAAAGATATTTGTGTATTGCTTTACATACTTCGTGTATTAAGCAATGTGTAGGCTTTTAGTCCTGCATAGGCGCATAACTAACATGCTCTGCTCTGGACTTTAGACCAGCTTTAGGACCAGGTCAATGGCGCGTTCTATTTCAGTTCCTCAAAATAGCAATGTGCCTTAACACACCTCCTTTTCAGAACAGCACACTCATGAGTCCACAAAGTAGCGCAAATGGATTTGCTATTTCAACAACGTGGCACAAAACATAAAAATTACTGTTGCACTGGTCTAAAAGTAGCAAAAAGTCATGCCAAACGTGTCTTGTGACTTATTGCGACGAGTGTATGATAGGGCCCAAAGTGTACAGTTAGAGATTCAGAGAGCAGTGGAAAAAATCACTTTTATTACTACTAAAACATTGATTTATTCAAAACCTCTTTCTTACTAGAAACACCACATAATAAGAAGAAACCTTCCTATAAAAACATATTACAAGAAGGGTCATTCAGAGGATGGTCATCTGCTTTGAAACCCATAAGTGCATATCCTGGAAGAGCATTATCTTGATGCTCAGAGGAGGAATGCTTTAAAGCAGAGAGGCCCAAACTAGGGCCCACCTTTGATTTGGCCCACCTTCTTAGTTTAGAGGAAGAATAATGAAGATGTTTTAGAGACTGTCATTTCTGATTGAATGTAACCGTTTGTTTATTTGTTTGTTTGTTTGTTTTTGATTGTTTGATTGATTGTGATTCCTAAGCTACAAAAAGCTAATGCAAATTAAATGCTTCAATTAAATAAGTCAGATTTTTAAAAAATGCACTTACGCCCCATTCACACGGGGCTTTAGCGTTAACGCTTGACAATGGGTGTGTCTGAAGTTGGGGCTTACACGATCGTCATAGCAGCGTCAGCTAATGAAATTAGTCAGCAGTCTGCTACTTTCTGAGCATATGTATTTGCATAGAGCAATCTGATTGGCTGACGCTTCCGTCGGCACTTGAAAAGTTGAGCAAGTCCCAACTTCTGCAGCGAGCAACGCCTCTGAAGCGGCGCCGTGTGAGTGTCAAAGTGAATGGGAAGCGTTGACGCCGACGCCCCGTGTGAATGGGGCGATACCATCACCCGTTATATAGACGACAGTGCAGAGACATCAGTGAGCAAATGAAGGCAAAGGCAGATTCTCCTTGACTAGTGTATTTAGCATTGAACTCCAATGTGTTATAAATGTAATTATTTGTGTCTGTTGTAATAAGTTATAAAATATATATTCCATTAGTTAAAACGATTCAAAGTGTTTTCATTATTATTATTATTATTATTATTATTATTATTAGTATTAGTATTATAAAAATAAATTAGAAAATTAACTATGGCAACTTTATTACATTAAAGTTGCCATAGTTAATTTTATAATTATATTTACCTTGTGCCCACGGCTCTTAGTGATATTTGGTTTTTGACCCTTCATACGAAAAAGTTTGGGCACCCCTGCTATAAAGAGAGCTGGGTGTTATCTGTGATGAATCAGGGGAAAGATTATAAAACCTGGTGTTTGGTTAGCCTTTGTGTCACACTCTGCAGCAACTACTGCTCCTCTATGACTTTCGGACGTATTCTTCGCAAAGAATAAAATGTTTTTAGAAGTAAAGCTTGTAAGACTATCTTGATCAGTAAGACTCTCTATATATGAAATAGCCACAACAAGATTTTCCAACACTTAAAGAGATTAGTAATTAATGTTTTTCTTAATCTGTTAAGTCAATTAGAATATATAGTATAACAAAAATGTATGCTTTTATAATTAGTTTAATTTTTAATGCGCAAAAGGCATATGGTTTAAATTGCATGCATTAAAGCAGCACTGTCCTTTTTTATACAACAGGAAGAACGAACACTTTTCCAGTTGGACGAGGCTATCGAGGCTTTGGATGCTGCTATTGAGTACAAAAACGAGGCGATCACCCAGAGACAGAGGCAGCTGCGGGCGTCTGGAAGCATGTTGACCCAATGGGAGATGAACCTGATGGCCAAACTCACCTACCTGTCTGCATCAGAAACCAGAGCTCTGCTTTGCAAATACTTTGATAAGGTCAGAAAACATCCCGGTTGCTTCATATTATCCACACAAGTCTTGTTTATGAACTTGCATTATGACACTTCTAAGTGGTGTTATGTTTTATTGGAGGAGGTGTGATCTATTATCGTTTCAATTGGCAGACCATCATAATTCTGCAGCAAATACGTGTTAAACGATAACAACACTGTCACTTGTGCTCTTTGTGTTTATCACAGCAACACGTTCACTGCTAGCATGTGTGCTCACATTTAGACAGTTTTGGCAAATGCAGACTAGCTTATAATAACACACAGTTTATAGCTTTCTCACATTGTTTTCAAATCCATGCTCCCTTTTAATAAAGGTTTAGCTGTTTATCACATTAGGGAAAGTGAAGACTGTGTAGCTGAGTGACTTTTGAACAGCATGTATTTTGAAAACCGCTTTAAATAGAGCCTTTTCACAAGACTGTTATGATGCGTTTTCTTGATTGTCGGTTTAAAAAAAAGTATTAGTATTAGCATTTGTAAAGATTTAATAGTGAAGTCCAGATCCGATCGATCACGCGTTTTTTACTCGATCGGATTCAGACGTTACCTCCCAATCAGGACTCTAATATTTACCGCTGAAATCAGAATTATTCGCGTGCCCTTTTTATTTTTTCCCAATTTCTGTGAACAGAGAAAAGATTTTGTTCAGCACATTTCTAAACATGATAGTTTGTTCTGTAGACTATCGGAAAAAAATATAGCTTAAAGGGGCTAATAATTTTGACCTTAAAATGTTTTTAAAAAATTTACAACTGCTTTTATTCTAGCAGAAATAAAAGAAATAAAACTTCCTCCAGAAAAAAAAAATATATATATTATCAGAAATACCATGAACATTTCCTTGCAAATGTAAAAAATAATAATAATAACTAAATAAATAAAAGGGGGGCTAATAATTCTGACTTCAGCTGTGTGTGTGTGTGTGTGTGTGTGTGTGTGTGTGTGTGTGTGTGTGTGTGTGTGTGTGTGTGTGTGTGTGTGTGTGTGTGTGTGTGTGCGTGAGTGCGTGAGTGCGTGAGTGCGTGCGTGCGTGCGTGCGTGCGTGTGTGTGTATACATATATATATATATATATATATATATATATATATATATATATATATATATATATATATATGTATGTATGTATATATGTTTATATATGTATGTATATATATATGTACATATATATACATTTTTTAACACGCCTAAATGTGGTGGCACAGCATTTTACCTCTATCTTGACTTCACACAGAAACAGCAATGTGCGTGGCATGATGATGTTAGGTTGAAAGAAGATGCCATTGTCCATCGCCGATGGCCGATAGACATCACAATGCTAAGCCGGCATTGTG